TTTCTAGCTGACTGACATTTCATCCTGCTCAACTTTTAACTGGAGACGCACCTGTCCACGAGCGCTCCGTGCGCGCTCAGTTTGGGATTAAACCCGAATCCGTCTTACCTCTCTCAAGTAAATAAACCGCTTGCTGCGGCTCTAAGCACCCCTGGAGGACGAGTCCTCGAACATGGACCACGGCGGGGCCGGGACCAAGCGACAGCCGTGGTAGCTCCCTGTGAAGGAGACGGAGCTGCGGTCCAGTGTTGCGTTCACTGCCCTCGCCGTATATGTCTGCCCCCTCCTCTGTAAGGACACTTTCCTCCACCTGATCACGCGTCTTGAGCCAAACACCGGGGGGAGCTCCGGGCCTCCTCTCCCCGGACCGCACCACCCTCCTGCACGCTCTAGTGCGCGCTGCTGGAGCTGTGTATGGAAGGCCATTAGTGCCAGGCGCATTTTTAAAATAGCGGAAACGCAGGAAAATCGACGATAAGAAAACACTCATTCTTAAAGCTATAAGCCACCACTCAGACAAAATACCGACTTTGTCGCTTTGTTACCTACAAATAATGTTATGAATTAGTACATTAAAACTGATAATATGAAACATGCTAAGCTTTTAAGGCAAGATAATAAGACAGCGGGAAAAACTAGGAGTAGAAATTATGGGAAACTACCTCAAAATACTGATTTTGTAAATTCATACTATTAGTTTATCTTATGAATGATTAGACTAGCTAGATCATATAAGGTAGACTAATTTATCAAGTGGACATGAGTTAAAATTGTGTCAAAACTGTCACATTTAAAGGCCAAGTTATGAGACTACTGTCAACTCTGTCCTAATAGGATGAAGCTGAGTCATAATTTAGATTTAGTACCTGATCATCTACAATTTACGTAAACTGTGACCTTGTGTATCATAACCATGATTTAGAACATCATCACTTTGAATGACCACAATTCTGATTTAACATACTGTTTCACTAGTTTCTCACAGTGTTTTTCAACTGAAAATCTCAAAAAGCATCAGGCGTTAACACTAAATCACTGAATAAATGGTTCATCAAGGAGATAAAAGAATATTTTAGCTGTGGTTCATTAAGAACCACAGTGGCCTACTCCTCGTCCAGAGATGACAGCCTGACAAATCAGTTCCTCCTCCTGGGCCTCCTGTTGCTCCTCAAACCTTTCCTCCCGCTCCCACTCCTTATTTTGCAGGACTTTTTCCAACTCTTGAAGCAGGGCCTCCAGCTGCTCCACGGCCACATCCACAGCAGCCTGGAGCTTGGCGACCTTGTTTCTCCTCCAGAATCAGATGGACTGACCTGCTGCGCTGGCGGCTGCTTCTCCAGTTCCTCTGTGGATGTCTTCAGCTGAAACCAGAGCGCTGACAGATCAGGGAAGCCTGGTGGTCGCAGATTCCAGATTTAGTCTGGTAGCAGAGTTCATCTGGACCTCCTTCAGCTTCTGCTTCACATGAACTTATTTTAAGGTCGCTAATGATTTCGTTGTGGGCACGAAGGCTGTCGGTGGCCTCCCTCACCTTTGAACTCATCCAGCTTCAGTTCTTCTCTCAGCTCTCTTGTGCTGGTAGGTCCTGTGTCCTTTCACCCTGGAACTGACAGGGAGACCATTCAGGGTCTCAGTTTTGGTTTTCAGGCGAGCTCTCTCGCATGGCATACATACCTGGAGGAGCGTCACACTCATAGTTACTTCACACAGAGGCTCTGGGGTCCAGGGGCCTCTAATCTCCTGGGTCTGGTAGGCCCGTTCAGCAATCCACCCATGGGTCAGACGTGTGAAGGAGAAACTGCAGCGTGGGGCACTAAAACTGCACATTCAAATCCGTTATAAATGAGCTGTTTATTAACTTACGTGACACAAAACATTGTAGAAACACTTAAAGTCACTTAGCTCCTTTTAAACTACAAAACATTTTCTGCATTGTGAAATGTGTTGGTGGTGATGTCACAGTCGCCATGCAGCAGATTTAATCTAATCCCCTCCCTCAGATTAGGAGGGAAAATCACTAGAAGGTGTTTTGTCTAAAACACGCACCATGTGAATGTTGCTTTAACCTTCCCCTCCAGCAGCAGGTTACCATACACTGCAGCGCTTCGCCCTGTGTTGACCTGGCTGGTTTGCTTCACTGCTGAGGGCTGAGGCTGATAGTACTGTTAACATCTTAAGATGATATCAATGGACAGTCTGAAGCAGCAGCTGACCCTCAGGAGAGAGAAGGATCTGCCATAGGATCCTCTGAAACGTTTTCCGGCAAAGCAGGAGCACTTCATTTCACTTGGCCAGTCCTAGTGGGAGGTCCGTTGTTATTCACTGTGTGTCAGTGACAAGTCCCTGACTAACAGCTGAGAACTGATGCCCCTCAGAAGCAATCTGCATGAACATGAAGGAGAATACGAATCAGACTGCAGTAGTACTGTGACAGATCAGGTCTTACTACGTCTCAGCTCAGAGCCATCGGCCACACACAGTGAACATCTGTACTGTGTGGGTGTGATTCTGCTGGTGTCAAACAAGCAGACAGGTGTAGCTGAGAGGGAAGAACTCATTAATCAGACTGGACAGGGCTCAAGTTCAATGTTGGAGTGACAAACACACGATGTGACAGAATGAGTCCGTGCACACACACACTCCTACTGCCCCAACATATTGGACTTGCACCAGTGAGTGGTAAAGACATTGCTGCAAAAAGTGTACATATACAGTATAATAATATAAGGTTTTCTAGAGAAAGTCTAAAGTTAGATGTGTTTTGAGTGAGAACTTAATTTTTTGCCCCTTTTTTTAGATTATAAAGTGTTTGTATTCATTTTAATACAGTGTGAAACTTTAACTGGGACTCAAACTAAAGTCAATATATTTTAAGGAGACTGGTTCCTACAGTATGCAGTCTGTTAAACAGCCTCCTGTATCTGCTCCAGTAGAAACTACAAACACCTGCAGGTTTTAGATGTACTGGACCATGATAACCAACAGCAAACCTCCAAAATGTCTCCCACCATGTTGGTTCTTTTGTTGTCAGCACTGGGAGCAAAATGTTTCCATAAAGGTCCTGCTCCACTGCCAACGCTGGAAGTAGCAGCCTGATCAGCCACATGCTGTCGTTTTCTGCTAGGTGGCAGTGACGCACCAGCACTGTGCTGCACTGTCTAAAATATTCTATCATCTGAGAAATCGTTGAGCACCAGATATCTGAGGCTGTATGCATCATGCTCACCAGTTAACCTCAGCTGGTGTGATGCTCTCTCTGGTGTTAAATCCTGGAGGGATTATTGCCAGTCAATGATCTAACTGACAGTAATCCTGAGTTTATTTCCATGCAATTGTGCTGAAAGCTCCAGTGCTCAGTGGTCTAAGTTTTCTGATAAAACTCACGATGACACTCTTACCATGTCAAACATGAGGCAGCAGCTTCTCCAGCTGATAAAAGCAGATGTCAGGCAACATTAACATGAAGGGTAAGTTCCAAAATGAATGTCTTTAAAAACTAAATTCTTTTTTCTGTTAAATTAATTTATATTGAAATAAATTACAATCTAATTATTTGACCTGTTCCAAAACCCAGGATCTTTTGTAATACAATTGCATTAAAAACTCCTGAACCCTCAGAAATCCACAGAACCATCTCCAGGTCCAGTGGAACCTCCTGGAATTTCCTCAACTCTTAAACCTCCGGCCTGAAGTCAACCAAAAATGCATTCACTTAATGAATCCTATCAAAGGGTTCCTGAACACACCACAGGTCCCTAGACCATCTCTAATACATAGACCCTTCACCAGAAGCCTCAAAACCCAAGCAGCATTGTATTCAAGGGCAGCTGGGACACACTCAAAGACCCCAAGAACCTTTTAAAAGACCTTAAGGATCTTCAAGGTCCTCTAAAAAAATCCTCTGACCTCTTCAAAGATCCCAGAAATCAACCACAGACACAAAAGACCCTCCACAAAATCCAGAAACCTCTCTAGAGTCCCTCTTACAGCCGGAGGAGACTTCCTGAAACATCTCTCAAACCCCTACATCCTACTCTGGGTTTGTCAAGAACATCCTGACTCACTGAAAGCTATCAAGGACTGCATAGACAGACCCTCTCTAGGACCTAAGACATTTCAGGAACCCTGTCATGAACCTCTGGAACCAATTCAAAATCATCTGATCTGCAGGTTCCCTCTCAAGAATAACTGAAGCCATTCATTGATCCCATGTGAAACCTTCTCAGACACTCTGGAATCCCCCTCAAAGAAATATTTGCACCTCCTCAAGAGGAAACCCCTCAAAAGTTGCTAACTTATCAGTTGTCCTCTGGGATCCTGGTTCACAAAGTCCTGTTCCACTTAAGATACCTCAGAAATTATCCAAAGATATGTAGAACCAACTGAAAGACCATGGACCTCCTCACAGAACCCCTTTGACCATCAGAAGGACAAATGAAAACCGCTCAAGAACAACTAGAACTGATGACAGGTCCGCTGGAACTCTTATCAACAATCTTGGGGTTTAAACATGTCTCAGGACTTCTGGATCCATGTTAAGGGCACCTCTGCAACCCATCAAGGATCTTTTCATTATCAGCAGGGAAACGATTATGATCAGACAGCAGATTATGAGACGTACCTGTGTCTTTGCTCAAAGCTTATGCCATTACACAGCGTACAAACCAGAAGGAAACTCTGTTTTTAAGGCATAAATGCTCCAGTTACTCTTACAGTCGCTGCCCATCTGACTGTAATGATGAGATTCAAATGATTCAACATTTTAATTCTGCACCTGTTCCTTTTTGATTCTTCTGTTTCTCTGAACTAGAATTTTATGTAGTTTTTTTTTTCTTTTTCTGCAGTTCAGCTCGAAACAGGAACCATGTGGCAATAAAATTTTTTTTTTACTTCACATTTAGAAATCTGCCAGTTCCTCTGTCTGAAATTCACAATGTCACCATCGAGTACCAAGTTCCTCCTCAACGGTCACCAGGTCTGAAGAGTGAACACATCCAGGACTGAACAACCGCCGCACAACGGGAGGGCGCCGGCACTGCAGTACCACCCACGTCTGTAAGTGCCTCTGACCTGGGAAAGCTGAGGTTTCCCCACTGAACCTGGCTTCACACATACAAGAATAAAGATACCAGAAAGCCACTTTGCTGTAAGCAATGTGGCTTTTAACAGCCTGTATCCTGATAAACTTGGTATTTAAGGTCCATTAAAACTTATCTTCTTAACCACCTATTTACTACCAGCATTGAGATTTTTCATCAAAACATTTTTTGCCAAATCAGCAGCAGTCTGAGTCAGTAATTGACAGATGTGTGTGCTTGGTTGTAAAAACATAATCCAATCTGGATTTAACAACATCTGAATAAGGCTACTAAGTGTTTCTCCCTCTTACTGAAGCAACATGTAACAGAAGGGAAACACTGAGATGCTCCTGTATAGCATAAAGATAACGTAAGCTGAGAACTCTTCTATTGTTTTTTCATGTTAGCATGGTAGATGGATCTAAATATTCCATTACCCATAAGCCCTGAGCACCATAGCAATGGAGAAGAGGCCAGTGTCAGACTAATATCTGACAAAACAAGACTCTGGGAACTTAGGCTGCACATTTTTCCTACATTTTGACATTGTATAAACTAAAAAATGAATTGATCAATCATTACAGATTATTCAGTAACAGGAGGGGTTGTCAGCTGCAGCGCTAGTCTGAAACTACTGCACAGAGGAAAATGTGAATTCTTGAACTAGAGCAGCTTCAAATTTTCCACGTTGAGTCAGAAAAAAAGAAAAACACACTTTATCAACTCCACATATGGTTTTAAGGCTCATTATTGTCTTTCTTTGGCCTCTGAGCAACTTTTCTTTGCACCAACAGTGATGAAATGATTCAAAGATTAAAGCCAGGAGTGACATTATTGACTCAGACTCGATAAGGAGCTCTTGAGACTGTGTGACAGCATTTCAATGAACCAGAGTTTCCTTCTGAAAAAGCATGCAGGGCCACTTCCTCGTTTGCTCCTGACAAAGGTTATATAAAGGTTCGCCTGTCCACTGCCCTCTTTACTCTCCTCCGTCACAGCCTGCTGCCTCGTGTCACATCGACACACTCTGCTCCACACACACTGTTTCAGAGGCACTGTCCACCATGGGGAACTTCGTTGCCAATGAGGGCCTCTCCATTTTTGTCATTGTGAGTAAACCTCTGTCAGCTTGTTTTCCTCTTTAGTGATTTTTGATATGTTGCTTTTGTCGTCTGCATTTGCGACCTGCTCAATCTGGTTGGTGCACAGCATTGGTTTTGTAATAACACAGTTAATCTCCAGCTTTGACTCATCACAAAAAAAGTATATCTGTGAACAGGTGTTGGACCTGAGGCCATCTAGTACCAACAGTTAGCAAACGAAATACAAGCAGAGTTTGTGGTATTTAACTGAAAAGAAGCTGCTGTGCAGCCATGACCTCCACCTCACATCATTATGAGATGATATTTTCTGCTAATGGATATTTTTCATTTAATGAAATAATTCCTCTTCTCTTTGCTTGGGTGAAGGTCCATTTCCATCAGTAGTTCCCAACCTGTGGGTCCTGAATAAAAAGCCTGCTTCTGCTGCTTTGCCTTTTCTTCTTATCATCTTTAAAAATGACTCAAACAAAACAGTCTCTGGTAATAGAGTGACAAAGCTCTACTTTAATCAATTCAATATCTTAGTTTTAATTTCCTTCTTGGTATAAGCATCAGCTAATGCAAGGAAAGATACCAAGAACACTGACCGAATGGTTTGTTTGCAAAATTGGACTTCAAATCTGTCCTATAGAAAATACAGTCCCTCACCTCAAAGTAAAGTATTGGGAAAAGTGTGATGTTGGGACCAGGTGCTGTCACAGCCTTCTCAGTAAAACTGACCTCTTCAGCCAAAAGATATTTTATTCTATGTTTTATGAGACACAAATGTGATTCAACCCGGGTTTGGTTGTGTGCTGCAGTTGGTGTGGCTGGGGATCAACGCCTTCCTGTTTGTCCACTTCTACATGGTCTTCCTGGTGGAGAAATGGTTCTACACTAGAGTCCTGCTCGGGGTGAGTCTGACCTGCCTCATCTGTTCTAACCGGAGTTATTCTGAGGACCAACCAGACTCTCATTAAAAATAAATAACTCATTAAACAACTTGTGAGAGTCATGTCCCAAAAACAGGACCCGATCTTTTACAGTTCCTCATAATGCAGCAGCTGTGACGAGCCCCCCCACCCTCGCCCCCCTCCTCTCTTAGACTGTGAGCACGCAGCAGTATAAACACATTCACTCAAGTCTTGTACTTAAGTACTGCGTTACACTTTAGCAGCGGTGCATAAATACGAAAGCACTTCTCAGAATTAACACTGGGAACTTACATTTAGATTTTCTTTAAGTGCACCACAGACTAAACTGTAAACACATTTATTTTAAATACTCGTGGACTAAACAGACAAATGGAAATGAAACCGCAGTATATAAATAACATGTAAATGCACATACGATACAATGAATCCTTAGATTTTAATGATCAATATTACATAATTTAATGGAAAATTGTAATGAATTGGATTTTTAACCCTAGTGCTTGTCTGTGTGATACGATGTGAACATTAAAGTTGTTCATACGTATCTTTAAGGTTCCTCTTGTTTATGTTCATCATATGAACATAAAGCTGACATGTTAGGTCTGCTTTTGGATCTGCACCCGAGTTTAAAGTGAAGCTCTGTGGGTTTGGTTAAAGTCAACCCGACAGAAAGAGAAGTCAGCTTGTATCACACAACTCACTTCTTGAAGGAGCCAATGTGTTAATCAATAAATCCAGGTGTCTTGGAGCTGACAAGCACGTCCGCACTCATCTCTCTGTACTGAATAGACAGACTTCCATGTAGTGAAGGAAAGTAGGTCGGACGTCTGCCCTGAAGTTTTTGTGGTCACAGCTGGCTTCAGGTCAGCAGAAGTGAAACACAGGCGCTTATTTTCTGTTGTGTTTGTGCACATTTTTTCTATATTTAATGGGACAAAATATCATCACTAATATAAAGAAGGAACAAGAGGAACAACATCTCAGACCTCTTCAAAGTTTTTATCCATTGAGAAATCTGGATGTTCATGAAGTTCAGTTAAGTAAAGCAAAGTAATTTAATCACCTGGTGCCGCCTGCTCATGATAAGAGGGTATATACAGTATATACAGTTATATACATTGTAAAGGAGGGATGAACTGCATTAACAGAGATACAGTGTCAATGTGTGGGTCGACAACAAAGAAGGCACAAGGCTGCCAATATTAAAATGATTATACAGACACATAATTTTCCATGATTTTTCTTGTTTGGTTACAACATATATGCCAAAATTGAACTGAAAACTCATTTTAATAATATGTTAGAAATGTAAAGAAATTCCATAATTATAATAAAATTGAAAAACTTTAAACTGGACTGTGAGTTCAATTTATGTGCTGGTTTTAAACAGTTTTTTGTGAAAATAAATTTTCATAATGCCAGGCCTCTGCTGTAAAATCAGACACCGTTTAAAGTAGTACCACAAAAGAGTCTTTCATTTTTCAAGTTTAAAGTTAAATTTTTTTTTTTTTAAAGCCGCACACTGCCAGAGTGTTTGAAAATTAAATCAAAAAGTCAATTTCACAATAATTCCATTTTCATTACTGGAGTGTTATGTCTAGTAGTACTCACAAGTATGCCTAATATTTGTATTTGTTTCATGAGCGCAGATGGAAAACTGAATTTCATTAAATTAAATTGACTTATTTTCATTGCAGCAGCCATAAACTTCCATAAATCATTTATGTAGTATACTATGTTCTCTAAATATTATGCATGTATTATAAAGAGGAATAAATAATACCTTCAAATATGAACAGGTTTATGTTCCTTACAAACATAACTTAAATCTTACCCAGCATTTCTTGGATGCAGAGCTGCTCTGGAAACATTCAAAGGAAGTTTAACTCTTATCAACAAGTAACCTGGCTACACTTTGGAATAATGCTCTTCTTATCCCCCAGCAAGCTCTGCCCTGGGCCAGGGCTCCTGCTGCCGCCCTCAACTTCAACTGCATGCTCATCCTGCTGCCCGTGTGCCGAAACCTGCTCTCCTTCCTTCGTGGCACCATCCAGGTATCTTACTACAAAACACTGCATTTGCATACCAGGTTCTCCTGCTGACAACAGCACTTTCATTGTTGTGGGATTCAGTTTTAATCAACTTTGCTCAAGTTTCTTGCTGCTCATTAGTGTAACGTTCCTATACTGGTCTTTCTTTCTTGTTTGCTCCTCAGTATTGCAGCCGCACAGCAGCTCGACAACTGGACCGAAACCTCACTTTTCACAAACTGGTGGCTTACATGATTGCCTTTCATACAGGTATTGGTTCTGTGTGGAGACGTGTGCAGGGTTTGGACTCCAGCTAAACCCAGTTTTATTTATTCTGTTTTCCAGCTTCAAGGTTTCTCATGTGACATACAAAAGTTTTAACCATCTAAAGTCATACATCTCTCCTGTATCACCCTCCGGCAGCTGTGCACATCATTGCACACTTGTTTAACTTTGAGTTTTTCATGGACGCCCAGCTGAATCGCAACAGCAGCTTTCTGCCCTTCGTCCTGTCACAAATTGGCAATGATGACAACGCCTCCTTCCTGAACCCCATCAGGACCAACGAGACAGTGAGTTACTCGTGACACAAGGTCATGTTCCTGTTAACCAGTCATGGAGCTGGATGCTTCTTGTGTTGCTAAAATCTGTGAAATTCCACTTTTTTAACTACTAAATTAGGCATTGACAAGAAAAGTTTGTATTACTTCATCTGAGAAACTTCCTCTTTGTCATCCGAGAAACTCCCTCTAAGTGCATTTTTCATGAAAAGAAAGAAGGAAGTGTTAACTCTTCTCAGGCATCAAAATACTAAACATGCAGCTTCTCCTGCTTTTTCTTCATATGGAGGCCAATATTTCATGAGTCAGGTTGAAACAACTCTGCATAGAGTTCTGCCCATTTGAACTGAAGCTCTGAGTTATTCTGAATTTGGGGCCAGAAAAACTGAAATACCTGCTACAAACATGTCTTTCTATCTTTGCTTAATCTGAACACCAGAACAATCCACTGTCACTTTCCTGTGAGTTACTTTGACCCCGTTTGACCTCTCAACTGTAAACACCTTGTAACTACGTGGTAAAGTTGTTTACTTTGTCAGATTATTTTCTTTTTGAACTACAATTCATCTCCTTTCATTTTACACTCATTAAGTCTCATTTGTTTCTTTACCTGTGATTTTGGACACGCAAACTTCATGTAGTCTCACACATTGTCAATACTTCCACATTTGATTTGCTAAGTGTATTTCAAACTGCCACTTCAGCTATTTCATATTTTTCAACTGCACATTCTCAGCAGAAAACACATTTCTTTATCAACTTTACATTTGAATGGCAAATGCTTGGGTCCATCAGAAAATGAGATCAAGAAAACCTGCCTCAAGGGTTGCAGGTGCTGCTCTACCTAAAGTCTTTTCAGCCCAAAAGTTGTAGTGAGACTCAAACAGAAACCGCTCCTCACCGCTCTTTGCCCCTCCCGTCCTGTTTCCTGATGCTTTGAGGTGAACAACAGATGTCTGGCTGGGACAAACTGTAACAAATGCAGCCTCCAGCCTGAAGCTAGCATTAGCTGGCTAACAGTAAACGTGTCAGAGAACGCTCTGGTTAATGCTGATATGGCACAAAGTGTGAATTACTCTCACATTAAAATCATATTAATTCAGTACAAAGGTAAAATCAGGACTGTGCTAGGTGGCTAATGCTACCGAATTTTCTCACAAGTTACTCTTATGTCTGATATTATGTATTGACAAACCCAATGGGCTTAACCTTTGATTCCAGTGGTAGAATCTGTTACAAAGCATATTCCTTAAAACCCGTGATATGTGGACCAGTCTGCTTTCTGCCATCCAGACTAGCTTCCTGCTTAGTGTATATACTCTTTCAACATCCCAGCCAGCCTGGCTCTGTGCCTACAGTCAGAAGAACTAGGAAAAAACACATTTAACAGGGAAGTTAGGCAACAAACTCAGCCTACGGAGGTGTCGTGATAAAAGTAGAAACCTCTAACCCTTGAGACCATGACTCACACTGTGACTAACCAGCTGTGCTGCTGTTGTGATGCAGAACCCTACTATTGTCATGTTCACTACCATCGCCGGGCTGACAGGTGTGGTCATCACGCTGGCACTCATTCTCATCATCACCACGTCCATGGAGGTGATCCGCAGGTCGTACTTCGAGCTGTTCTGGTATACACACCATCTCTTTGTCATCTTCTTCATTGGCCTGGTGTTCCACGGCTACGGGTGAGACAGCACAGAAGTACAGTTCATTTCTGTCTCAGAACACCTGCACTGTTGTATTACTGCAGTAGTTTCTATGGAGAGTATTACCAAAGTTAAGGCTAGGCTCTGCCTTGAGTCTAGAGCCTGAGTCCTGATTTGGGCGAGACCCTGCCCGGACTCTACCTTAGTGACTACTGCCTACAGTCCTTCATGACTTTGAATTTAAATTATATCTAAGAATTAAACTCAATCAACAACTACAGTTACCTTTATAAAACACACATACTACCAGCTAATGATGCTGTTTTTGAGCCCTGTAAGGCCAAAATTAATCTTAGTAATAATTCTTACTGCTTATTCCTTAATCACTACCCCTCCCTGTGCTCCTGGCTGCAGGCGTATCGTGCGAGGACAAACAGCCTCCAGCCTGGACACAAACAAGCCTGAAGTTTGTGTTTCACATTTTGAAACCTGGGGAACAAATGGGACCTACTGTGCCGAGCCAGAGTTCGCTGGAAACCCACCAGGGGTGAGCTGTTAAACAACTGGGAAATTATAATTTATTATATTTTTGATGTTTGATTTCCCAACTGATGAGTATTTTACTTTCTAGTTCAGCCTGTGGTTGGTGTGAAAAGGGCATTTTGTAAACTTCCTATCAGCCAAAGCCTTGTTAGCAGGTTATATCTTGTTGGCATTATTGGTTGTAGATATTTGGTTTCACTGTATATTTTTTAAAATATTTTCCCTTTGTCCAGACATGGAAGTGGGTGGTGGGCCCCATGATCCTCTACGTGTGTGAGAGGCTGATCCGCATCTATAGATCCCACCAGAAAGTGGTCATCACCAAGGTGTGTGTGTGTTTGTTTGAGTAAAACAGTCAAGAACTCAACAATAAAGCGCTCTCTTGGGTGCGGGGAAGGCAAAAAGACCATTGTTTACCTATTGTCAGCTATATCACCAGTAAGCCTTAATAAATAAGGGTAATTATAACTAACAGTCCCATACCTGTTCGTCAGGTGGTGATGCACCCCTCCAAGACTCTGGAGCTGCAGATGAAGAAGAAAGGTTTTCGCATGGAGGTGGGCCAGTACGTCTCCATCCAGTGTCCGTCCATCTCCAGGCTGGAGTGGCACCCTTTCACCCTGACCTCGGCCCCTGAGGAGGACTACTTCACCGTCCACATCCGCATCGTTGGGGACTGGACTCAGGCGCTGTACGAGGCCTGTGGAGGAGACAAAACCGAACCTCAGGAGGCCTGGAAACTGCCCAAGTATGACAACAAGAGCAAGACTGTGCCTGAAATTGCTTGTGATTACATTTGATCTGCCCCCCAACCAGCGCTTCTCTGAAACCCTGGCATTTAGAGCTCAAAGGGGTTCACTGTGTGTGTCTGTAATTGGTTCAGGAGTGAGTGGAGGCAGAGGACCTGCAGAAATCAGACAATCTGCCCAGCATCCTGTTAGTTTGTACCAGTGGTCCTGCTGAGCGAGTTGCATTATTTTTCTCTTCTCTTCCAGGCAGACAATAAAAGAAGAGCTGCTGCTGATCAAATTGCCTTCAGGGCACTTTGCAGCTTGCAATAATTAGGTTTTCAAACATGCTTCAAACCTGATATTTTCTGAGTTACATTAAGGCCAAACAGAGGATCACTTTAAGCAGTGACAGTTGCTCTAAGTGTAGCAAGACTTTTCACGTTCCTGCGCATTTGATGAAACTTGGTGAATAAAAATGAGTTGAAGTGCATCTGGTCGTCATGCATGGTGATGCATGGAGGTCTGCTTCTGCATTACTTTGTCCTGCTCTTCCTGTTTCTTTCGCGTCACTCACATCGCATCTGTATCAGTGAGTTACTCAAGTTCAATTCTGAGATACTTGTACAGTAATTTACTTGAGTATTTCAAGTCTTTGCTATATGATACTTCAACTCTACTGCATTTCAGAGGGAAATACTGCACTTTGTCAAGCACAACATTTATTTGACAACTGTTATTTTTCTGTTTTTTTATTTAAAAAACTTAGAACATGATGCATTGTCCAAGATGGAACCTTTTGCATCACACAAGCCAAGAGCAGCATGTAAACATGGAAGACAAGAGACATCTTACATCTGTCTGTGTGTTCTGTCAGGATCGCCATAGATGGCCCGTTCGGTACCGCCAGTGAAGACGTGTTTCGTTATGAGGTGGTCATGCTGGTGGGCGCAGGAATTGGAGTGACCCCTTTTGCATCCATCCTCAAGTCTGTGTGGTATAAACGAATCCAGAACAACCAGGACGTCTTCACCAAAAAGGTGAGACAGGAAAAACGGGCCTTTCTGTGACTCGGTCCGAGTCTCTGTGGGGTATTTTTGAGTCATCTTACAGTTGTTTTGTTTCTTTTTCTGGTTGTTTTGAGCATTTTATGGTCATTTTTTTCTATAAAGTGTAACAAAGCAGGGACAAATTAAGCCCCTAGGTCACCACGACACCGCGACCTACTGCCAGTATTTACTGAATTCAAGGTGCTGTTGTCTGCACCAAAATCTCCAGATAGTTCTTGTATATTTTTGGTAAAAATAATCACTGTTGTTGCTGTTCACCTCAGATTTACTTCTACTGGCTGTGCCCGGAGACACAGGCCTTTGAGTGGTTTGCAGATCTGCTGCAGTCTCTGGAGGGTCAGATGGTGGACAAGAGCATGTCCGACTTCCTCAGCTACAACATCTACCTCACCCGCTGGAAGGAGACCGAGGTACGAGGGAGGCATTGAACCTGTGTCCCTGTAGCACAAAACAAGATGTTCTCCACTATAAAAAGATGAAAAGCCTCCACAAAACTGAGTTGACCCCAGGTTAAAAGTGTACTTCTCCAGTTAAGGATTCAAAAACCTCTTTAACTGAAGTGAAACCAGATGAGACACTCTGTGTGTTGAGGACATTTCCCCCAATCTCAATAGACACCAAACAGCAAATGTTCCAGCCTGTAGAGAAACCATACATGAGCTCACTGAACATGTTCAAAAACACATTGTTCTAGTGTGTGAAACGTGGTCACACATTTATAGTGTGAAACTACTTCCCACCTGTTTGCTCAAATGTTAAAGGTCCTGTCTTTTCTTTTGTCAGGCGGCTCATTTCCGAGTTCACCACGAGGCAGAGAACGACCCGATCACAGGCCTCAAACAAAAGACACTATATGGGAAACCCAACTGGGACAACGAGTTCAGTAACATTGCGTCAAAGCACCCGGGGTGAGGCCTGTTCTCTCTTATCACAGTGTACACTGACACACTTTATCACCTCATCTACACCCATTTATCTACAAATCAATGACTATAGCAAGTGATTTTTAATGGGAAAATAATATGTCAACCAGTAAGTAGGTCACTGAGTAAGTCAGTCATCATATAGTTATTGATTTTTATGGATTTAATGTTCAAGACGCCACCCCACCCTGTCACTGCTATGCATATTAAAGATCAGCTATGAAGACCTCCAGCTAACAGAGCAGTCAGTCCTTCCTTCTCTCCTGTTGTTGTCTCATATCTGTACACAAATGGTAGTGAACATGTCTGACTGAACTGGCAATGGGTGGACTACCAGTCAGATCTACCAGGCACAGGCCGGGGGACCCGAGAGGTCAGGGTGGCACAGACCTCCGTTAAAATAGATGCTACATGGCCACAAACAGATTCACATAGACACACAAAGGGGCTGTGAATAAACCCAGAACTATCAAATTAAGACATAAAACAGACACCAAACCATCACACTATGCTGTAACACTACCATAAAGAGAAGACAGAGGAGGTGCAGGGGCCCATTTTCTCATAATCCATCCATAGGACTGACTGCTGTGGTTTCACCGTCGCCATAAGACAGCAACACTCTCTCATCATTAACATCACCAGGATCCCTGTAACAAGCTTACATCTATTTAAAAACAAACTTATGTGCAGCTCTGCTGCAGTTTCTGTTCTGTTCTTCTAGTGCTCCCTCAACCTTTAAATGATGAACAATATCTAAACAGGGGTTTTTGTGTCCTCAGAGCTAAAGTGGGCGTCTTCCTGTGTGGCCCCCCTCTGCTGGCAAAATCTCTGGGGAAACAATGCCTGTCCCACTCGGAGGCTGATGTCAAGTTCATCTTCAACAAAGAAAACTTCTGAAGCAAAGACGCTCCAGCAGTCCCAGAGAGCGGCCCCCTCCCGGGCAGCAACGGGCTCGGAGTCGGGCAGCTGGCTGAAACGTCCTGCACATTTTACACCACATGTTGTGAATGCTGGAACTCTCACAGGCAGCTTCTCACTGCCCACCACTCCTCTACTGTCCGCTTCTCACCACAATGTTTTGCAAAGATGTTCTTGCCAAAAAAAAAACCCTTGTGGTGTTTCCACATTACCTTGTTCCTTTTTTGTTTTACAATACATGAAACTCTGCTGCTTTCAAAATGTTTCTTCCCATTTTTCTACTGTCCTTAAGTTTTCTTTGTGCTTTTGCCCGGAGCGGACATGCTCTTAATCACTGAACAACGGGTCTGATACCAGATGGTTTAAATTCCCGCAATCAATGAAGAAAAACATTAAATAATTGCTGTTGATCAAGGCATTACAGCTGTGGCTGCTGTTGTGTGTGACTGTGCTAAAAGAGGAAACACCCACCACCAAGCTTCTCTGACAAAAACATAATATAAAAGAAGCATCTGTGATTTCTGCTGTTGTGTTGCAGTGCATAGACAGAGCTGTTTTTTGTGTATTGATTAGGTTGGAAAACAGCACAGCAGCAGCCGTCTGGTTACACATTGTGCCAGAAATTCCAGCACAGCTGTGAGGAAAGCAGCAGCACTGTAAAGCTGGCAGGTCAGGCACATTCACTGTATTAATCAGTGTGACCACACAATGGAAAAACAACAGGACCATATGAAGCCTATGAAAACACAACCTCCACGGTCAGTAGTCATTCTCCTGCTGTTTCCACACCTGACTAACCCTGTGTGGTTTGTTTACTGCTGTTGTTGTCACCAGACTTTTATCCTCTGTTGTCATTGTGTATTTTTTTTGTACCATGATCAAGTTTGTTTCCTTTCTTGGAAAATAAACTTGAACTTTCAGAGAAGTCTTGTAGAATTTTCAGCTTTAAACATGTTCTACCAAATGAGTTGTAACTAAAACAGGAACTATAGTGTTCGGTCTGTGGTGAAAACTGTTCGACAGGTCGACCTGTCCATGCACATTCACACACACACACACAACTTTAAAGTCCATAGGAAAGTCGTGTAATTTTATTCAGTCTGTATCAGTGGGCATTGGGACTTTATACCCTCTGTGGTCCTGATCAATAACAATGTTCCAAGGACAACAGAAGCTAAAAATCCAGTGGCGACACCACAAGGAGAAAAAGCAACTTCTTGTTAAATCTATTAAATTCAGACTTAAACTAGGAACAGCACCTCTTCAGCTTTGAGGTCTTATGAGAGCATCTGATACTGATTAGATATTTGTTCACATCTCTTCCTTGGCTCAAGCCAAGGAAGAGATGTGAACAAATATCATATAGAAAATCAAAGATGCTCAGTGTCTGTGCACAGTGGTGAAAGCAAACCAAGTACATCTACTCAGGTCCTGCACTTAAGTATAATTTTGAGGTATCCGTATTTTACTTTTCTGCTACTTCATACTGACTTCACTCCATGTCAGAGACAAACTGTGTACTCTTTACTGCACTACATGTATCTGATAACTTCAGTTCCTTTTCAGAATCAGAAGAATCAAACCAAACACAGTAGAATCATCAGACTTTATTGATCTCGATGGGAAATCCACCAGCTACCCAGCAGGATGTAAAGTACTTCGCAGTATAAGTATATAAGGTAGTTACCATCAGCTCCACCTTTACCAGCTGCAGCATTAAAGTGATAAACACACCATTAAAGTGATGAACACAGTCATGCATCAGTCACTATGATCCAGTATCAGAGACATTAATGTGGCATGGGCCATTTTGCAGGATGAGTACTGGTACTTTGGTACTGCAAGTAAATTTTGATGCTAATACCTTTGTATTTTTTCTTAAATAAACAATGAGTACTTATTCCACCACTGCCTGTGTGAAGTGACTGCTCATATTTCTCAGTTAAAACACCAAATGACCAGAGATGCAAAAAGGAAAACTGCAAGACAGAGTTAAAACTGAGAGTACAAGGGTCAAATCAGACACTGACAACAGCGCCAGCTGTAGGAAGAAAAGTGGGACTGTTCATCTGTCCTAATTCATTTCAAAGAAATAATTGAACTCTGCTGTTTATTTGTACATCTCTGCATGTTTATTCTCCTGCAGCAAATAGCTGCAAGTACAAACATCCTCTTGGACATGATGCACCTAATAAACAGTAGAAGAAAAATCTGATTAAACATGTTGTTTGCAGCTGCTGCATGAAGTCAGGCGTCAGTGACCAATAAAATACAGTGCACAATAGATACACATTTTAAGATAATGTTTCATGACACCTGAAAACAATCCAGCTGTTTTCTTCCCTGTGGCTCAGGAGGTAGAGCGGGTCGTTTCCTAACCGGAGGATTAGCGGTTCGATTCCCGGCTTGTCCAGTCAACATGTCGAGGTGTCCTTGAGCAAGACACTAAACCCCCAGTTGCTCCCGGTGATGTCACCGGTGTGTGAATAGGTGAGTGCTTGGGAGTGCAAATGGGTGAATGGCCGAATAATGTGTGAAAGCGTTTTGAGTGTGCTGTAAAAGCATAGAAAGGTGCTATACAAGTATAAGACCATTTACCATTCCCAGCAGCTGTGTGGAAGTGGACTTTGTGGCACTTGGTGGCCCCCTGCTGTTCACAGGAACTCACTGCACTCCTCCTCTTCTTCTGGTAGTGGTGGACTGTATGTACATTTATGTGCGTGTGTGTTTCCTATGCAATAGCCACCGCAAACACACTGACCACAAAGTACATGGTGCGGTTTTCCCATCTCACGGTGCAGCTTCCTGCAGGGAAACAAACTAGTGTTAGCAAAGCAACTAATCACAGGAGAGAAGCAGAGACTTTCTGGTCCAAACCCACTGATCCCAACAGACAAACAAGTTTCCTTTTTAAATTTGCGTTATGTTTTTCACTTGTTGAAAAACTATGTTTCCTCCCTCCAACAGAGGAGCACTGAAGCTGCTCTGGAGACTAAGTGTGATAGTTTGTCACTGTGCTGTGTACAGTGCCTTGCGAAAGTATTCGGCCCCCTTGAACTTTGCGACCTTTTGCCACATTTCAGGCTTCAAACATAAAGATATAAAACTGTAATTTTTTGTGAAGAATCAACAACAAGTGGGACACAATCATGAAGTGGAACGAAATTTATTGGATATTTCAAACTTTTTTAACAAATAAAAAAACTGAAAAATTGGGCGTGCAAAATTATTCAACCCCCTTAAGTTAATACGTTGTAGCGCCACCTTTTGCTGCGATTACAGCTGTAAGTCACTTGGGGTATGTCTCTATCAGTTTTGCACATCGAGAGACTGAAATTTTTGCCCATGCCTCCTTGCAAAACAGCTCGAGCTCAGTGAGGTTGGATGGAGAGCGTTTGTGAACAGCAGTTGTCAGTTCTTTCCACAGATTCTCGATTGGATTCAGGTCTGGACTTTGACTTGGCCATTCTAACACCTGGATATGTTTATTTGTATTTATTAGTCATTTAGGTCAACATTGGATCATTCAGAGATCCTCACTGAACTTCTGGAGAGAGTTTGCTGCACTGAAAGTAAAGGGGCTGAATAATTTTGCACGCCCAATTTTTCAGTTTTTTATTTGTTAAAAAAGTTTGAAATATCCAATAAATTTCGTTCCACTTCATGATTGTGTCCCACTTGTTGTTGATTCTTCAAAAAAAATTAGTTTTATATCTTTATGTTTGAAGCCTGAAATGTGGCAAAAGGTCGCAAAGTTCAAGGGGGCCGAATACTTTCGCAAGGCACTGTATATACAGTATAGTGGGACTTGAAGTCATCCTTACCGTCCATGGCAGTGTCCCAGTAGCAGGAGTTGGCTGAGTGGAGGCCGGCTCCCGTTTTCTGCATCACAGCACACGTCACTGTGCAGACAAACAGTCACATAAACACTCTGTCCTGTGTACTATTCTCTTCTTTATATTTATGTCCTCCCACAGAATATTTATGCTCCAGGAAAGCGGTTAGACTGAACAGGCGACACACAAACACTCAGGGTGAATGTGCGTATGCTCACACATAAAGTGCCAGTGTAGCGGCTGGATCACATCTATAGTCCCAAATCTAAAACTTAAGGAACATTTTAATTTGGAGAATGGGAGCAGGAAGACTGTGTATTTGCTACGTGTTGGAGATTCTGTGCTCAGTGACAAACACATACCGATGTACTTGTAAGGCTTCCCCTGTCTGACCAGCTGTGTGAGGCAGCGCTCCACGATGGTGGCCGTCCATTTGTTCACCTGATTCTGATTGTAGTCGTCACCGCCTATGACACTCTCGATGCACTGAGACACACACAAAAGTCACACAACAGTGTTCACAGTCATGTGGGAGTCACTGGATGTTGCTTCACCCTGAGGAGACTGAAGTGAAGAGCCACACTGTCCTCAGTTTCAATAAATATCCCTGTCAAAGGCCTGAGTGCAACAGAAACATTACACATCATTTCTCTAGCTTTTTTACACACACCCCGTGTTTTCTACTAAAAACATGTGCTCTTCCAAAAGGGACAAAATGTGTCTGGCATTTTTATTGTTGCATGATTTCACTTTTAATCTCAATCTTCATCTTCAGTGCACCACACAGAAACTCAAACTACTATCCACCACTAAAATGCAGCTGCTTCAACTGAACTATGATATCTGGATGCAATATAAAAAGTTATATTAAAACAGAGTGGAAGACAATGACCCCATAATCTCCAGGTATTTGTCAGCATAGCATCCTGGACACTACAGCTGGATTTAAACTAGAGCTGACACAAGATGATAAATACACAGTGATAGCGTTAGACAATGTAGAATAAAAGCACAATGACATTTAAATGTCATCATTACCTCTTTGACAATGGCATCAGCTTCTTCAGAGCTGAAGGAGCCCTGACAACAGGAAACAGAAATATGAATTAACGTAGGTTACAGCCTCTCCTCACACAGCACATTCAGATGAGAGGGTTTAGGATGGTCAAAATCTGTCTTTTCTAGCTCCTTTCTTCATTGGAGAGACCCCCTCCTTATTAGTAAGGTATTTAAAAGAAAAAGTCGTATATTTGTCTATTTTTTTTAAATCCATCAGCAGAACTTAGCCAGCTGTATTTATAAATGTTAAAAAATAATCAATAAAGGGATCCCATAGTAATCATAAGTGCAGTTGAAAATATTAACAAGCAAGCAGTTTCATTACTGCTTCTTCTACCAAATATTTTCTGTGATTTATCAGAAAGTAGTGAAAAATGCAGCTGTTTTCACCCAAAAACTGTCCAAAAGTACAGATATCCAAGTTCACTATAGTATTGATATAAACAACAAATCTTCACGCAAGAAGCTGCAAAAAGCTATTCTGAGCAGTTTTGCTTGAGAAATAACTAAAACAATTAGCAAAATAGTTGTAGGTGTTTATTCTGTCAATTTACTCTGGAGCTCCAGAAAGCTCTTTATAAGTGGATTTTTTTGTGGTCAAAGTGTCTATTGGAGGGATCTAATGATGAATTAAAGAGCTAAAAGCAAAGTATGTCTGATGCTGCAGGAAGAGTTGTCATAACCTACCAACCCAAATCTTTCCGTATTAATGGAATGACGATTAGCTAATTTATTAGTAAATTAACAATTACTTGTGCTATTAATTTAACTGATCTTGTTAAGTGTCACGAGCAGGTCATTCAATACTTCTAAATATAACATTCCATGTTAAAAAATGTTTTGACACTTAAAATTAGAGTTAGCATCACAGACTGCTATGGGTAACCTCAATAATTAACTTGTATGTAGTGCTAGCACTAGCTGTGGCTAGTTATGGTAAGGTGGCTGGCTATTTTCTACAACGTAGCATCAAAAACGACGTCAATTCAGGCACGAACCTCGTTTCCGTTATGATATTCCTCCATTCCTGTCATCTATCACTGGTTCAAAGTAGCCACAGTGTTTGTTTTTACAGTTAAAAACAGAGCATGACACGTAGCTCCTCCGAGAAAAAGGGCTGTGATGTAATTCCTGTCAACGACGATTGAAAACAGCGCCGAAGAAGAAAGCTACCGGCTAGCGCCACCTCCTGGTAGTAACACAACTTATTTTAAACGGTAAAACGTTCAATAAGCTTCAGTTTCTTCAGTTAATGCGTCAACAAAACGATTCAAAGACCAGTATATAAACGCAAGCTACTTTTTCGTTGTAAGAGTAAAATGATCTGTTTGGACTCACCTCTGAGACGGCGGACTCTAGATGACCTGACACTAGTGATGTTCCTTCTGACACCAAAGCTCCGAAGCTTGCTTCAAACTCAGAAGCGTATTTTTCTGAAGCACAGTGCCGGAGCTTGCTTCCAATCGGGAAAAACCACGTGACTGATGACGTTCGACCCACTTCCCTGCTTCATTCAGAGTCTTTCTGTAACTTGTTAATTTTATTGGCTAAGTTTCATATTCACAAATGTAAACTCACAAATAGAAAACCTCTATTCTTGGTCTTTTTAAAAGAGTTCAAACAATACATTTCTTCAATTTTTTTTTCTGATAATACAAAGGCCATCAAAACAATTAATTTATGCACCTTATTTAAAATTCCTGGTTAGATAATGGATGTATGTTGAATACACTCTTATATCTTTGTTTCTTTGGATGACTGTACTGTATTTCTTGTTGAATAAATAAAAAAAAATCAGAGTCTTTCTTCTTCCTCTTCAGCTGTCTTTTAATGGCGGTTGGCAACCAGTTTTAGGTGCATTACTTCCACCTTCCAGACTGGAGCCCCTACCTACCACACCAAAATAACCCCACTCAGTTCACCTTATATTATCCTGTGTAACCCTGTGCTCTCTAAAAACCTAATAAGTGCTCTGTATCCTATATCCCCTGACCTCTGTCCCAACACCTCCGGTAAACTAAAGTTCATTCCACCTCAGTATTAAAACAGTATAATAACAGTTAAATAATTCCCTCTCCCGCCCGATCATGGGACAGCTCATTAAACATGTTCCACTGTTACTTGTACTCTACACATCTCACATTCCCTTGTAGTATGGTTCTTGATTAGCCTCATTCAGATTGAATCAGCTGACTGGTTTGGTTCGATAGGCAGAGCTTTGAGACATTGGCGCAATACAGGTGAATTTGGGATGGATGAAACTGCGCTGTGTCTTACCTTTTGTCAACATATTTTGGATTGTCTCGCTATGGAGCCATCAAGGAAACGTTCACAAGTGTGGGAACATTTTGAATTGGTGCCACCAAATAAGGTAAATTATATTTCCAAGATTCAAGCCTTATTGTCAAGTCTGTTATTCATACAATGGATATTCAAGTTTACTGTCCCCTCCGAATAAACACAGGAAGAATAAATCACACACAGATCTCATTGTGATTTCACAGGTGCAATATGTTCGTGCAGATTCTTCCATCCTAATTCACACAAGGGCAATATGCGTCGATCCACATATGAGGGTTCAAAGACAGGTAACGACGCTCACCGATACCGGACTATAACGACTCAGTCGTTAGGGGACATTGATGGCCGTCAAAGGACTAGTAATGTGTCGTTCACGAACTTTCCCATAACTCGAGAACGGGTCGTCTCGGGGAATGATTCGTTCATTTTGTGTTGACTGCGCATGCGCAACATCGCATAAGCTTAGGACACCTTTCGAGTCGTTTTTGTAACGTGAGATGCCCGCTTCGTTGGATACAGAAATTAATTTTCAACCGTCCTTACAGTTTTTTTTACTCTTACTGTTTCGTGATTCATTTATTTTTATTATAAAATAGCTTTTTATTTTCTACAAACTAGAATTTTGTGAATATCTGTCAGTATGGTTCTTTTCCATAACACTGAATGTTTTAATAAAGAGTTGGTTAATGCTTTAAACTTCATCGGGGAAAATCTTTCTGTATACTATACAGAAGATGGCACGGCACGGCATAGCTTAGCTTAGGATGTTATGTGACAAAAGACCAAACGAATTTGACCCAAAATATCCGGAGGTGAGGTGATGAAGTAACAGACTGCATAGCCTCAAGACATAGGTACAATATTACTTATAATATGACCTTGGCTGCATTACAGTTATTTCTTATTCGAAACGTGATCAATATTTGCGGAAGTAGATGGGGAATTAACATGTAACATTTTAATTACATTCTGCTGAAGTGAACGAAATGAGTCGGAAAAAAAAGATTCGTTCATTTTGCTGAACGAGATTCAAAGAACCGAATCAGTAAAATGATCCGAACTTCCCATCTCTACAGTCAGTTAAGGAATAAACAAAAGAAACGTTCAATGGTGAATAAAGCATGTGATAACACGGCAATAAACGCATTGCTTTCGGGTTGCAGTTTGATGCCAAATTAACCACACAATTTAGAGGAGAAACAATTAAAGCCAGACCACATCAGTTTCCTTCCATTTGTCACTCTCTTATCATACTTAATATTGCCAGTGTCAATTCGATGTTTTTGCCACTATGTCCCATTAAATGCAGCATTTGCTGGCCCAAATCTGGCCACAAGAAGGCACTCTAGTACCTGTTTCACAGCTCTTTTGTAATAAGTCACAGATGGAGAGGCACTTTAGATGGAGGTCTAACAAACAGAAATGGGGTTGAAACGTTTGAAAAACATTTGCATTCCTCACAGATGAGACTGCAGTACAGAACAGAAAGTCAGGTTTTACAAACAATTTACAAAATCTACAAACCTTTATTTTGCCTCATCAGATAAAACACAAAGAAAAAAAACTTGAATGACAAGCACAGGCATGTGTACTTTCAGACTAACATCGTTTTTGATTAGTGGAATTCTTCTGAGGAATGAATAAACCATCTGGACAATTCATATGAAGTTCAAATAATTCCAACCCTTTAAAATCAGGCTCTTTTTCAATGAATACACAAATAGCAGATTAGCTCAGATACAGCAGTGGGCCTTCCTTCACCAAGCTTTCAACCTCCAATAGACAGACTGCTTTTACAGTCAAGGTTAAGTCTGACTTGAGCTTGCAGTCCGACAGGTCTCTTACCCCAACACAAGCACAGCCTTTCTGAAGCAAATACAGACAAACTTGTGAAGAGGCGCAAGGGTTTTTACAGATATATAACTTGTAGCCCCACTAAACAGCACAAAGATATATTAAACCCACAGGCAAAACAAACCAGTGGGTTAAACATGGTGAGGCCTTGAATGTCATGAAAGCAGCTCAAAGAAACAAGGTAAGGATTAATTATGGCCTTATGTGTACCTCACTGACCAGTGAGCAGCACTCTTAATAATGTATGGGGGTCAAAACCAGGATACAGTCATTACATGTCTAAAAGGATGATAAAAGATTCGAAAGCTGTTTGTGGGTAGTCAGTGCTTGAGATGACATGGTTAAAGCACCAAGATTGAGTAAAAGCTTTGAAATCACTTAAACTGTAGCAAGTGAGAGCAACTGCTGAGATCTGGGAACACAGCCACATTGAAATTAAAAAGCACAAGCAGTGATGTGACGTGACTAGTTTTACACATGACAACAGGTTAGTCAAATGACATGTATCCCAAAGCTAAAATGAAAAGCAACACTCCTAAAATAAACATCTTCCTAAACTGGGCTTTTATTAAAACATTCTTCCAGCAATGTTGCATTGGGAGGTCTCAGCAATTAACCCGATGATGTGATGATTACAATCTAGCGTAACTCATTAAACCAGTGGCCACCTATATTAATACAGGTTTTAATTAGGTTTTCTATTTTTAAAAATTGTTGCTGCTAGATTAGACTACTACTAGGGAATGCACAGATACAAAAGACCTATAATAGCCCTGCAACAGAAAATACAATTGCAGAGTGTAATATACATACAGTATTTGGTAACACTGTGTCAGAGGGTGGAATTAGTGGTGTTGTTGTTGTATTGAACTCTATTGTATTGCAAGGTGTATATTATATTGTTGCACTGTGTCTTTTGCCAGTTTTACATATGGGTAGTGCAGGTGCTGTGACAGAGGGAAAACATTAGGTGCACCTCACACTTAAAAGGAAATTACATTGTGTGATGGGTTAGATGCATGTGCTCGCCCCCTAAAGGTCTAAATAAACCTTAAATCATTCCCAAGAAGAACAAGGAACCAGAACAACGTAATAATTGGACACCAGAAAGTTTAATAAATAGATGTAAAACTTCTGGTGAAGATTTTGACATATCATTTAGATCCTACGGGCAATTTAGAGTTGCCAATCAACCTAAGCTGCAGGTCTTTGGACTGTGTGTGGGAAGAAGCCGGAGCGTCCGGAGAGAACCTACGCAAGCACAGGGAGAACATGCAAACTCCCCTTACGAAACAAGAATATATTGCAATATAATGCATAATACATTTTCATATATGGAAAACTAGTGCTTATATTTTTCAGTATACTGTAATATGTGTATGGAACATGTATGGTTATATATTGATAAAATAAAAAATAATATTGCAATGGGGACAAAATCTGCACTAAATTTTTACATATAATAGTTTTATTGAAACAAATTCATTCATTCATTTCTCTTTCATCAGTTAACATGAGCAGTCATCTCACTATATTATTTATATAGTTACACATCTCATAAATGAAAATACAGTATATGATATTACATAGGGGAAAAAGTTGGACAATCTGATGCCTTGTTAAAGTCACTTTGTCAGCATGATAGGAGGAAAATATTTTATATTTATACCTTAATGGATTGAGTGCTCACTTTCAAACTGTATGCCTGTACTGATGTATTCATTTCAATGTGGTCCAGTTTTCCCATAGTGGATATGCGCGTGCTACTGAGCGCGAATCGCGGATAAGTGAGCTGTGATTGGTTCACAAAACCATAAACATTTAAATCAATGACTACTAGCCAATGGCTGCATAGTAGTCATCGCCAATCACAGTACAGTAAGGTTGCTAACGTTGTAGGGAGAAGTAACAAAGGCTTCGAGTTTGACGGGATGACGAAGTATCGTTATTCCCCGGTGTCTTGGATTCAGGGCCCAGATAAAGATGCGGTTAGCGCTG